CAAGTACCTGCCTTGGTCTACCTCTCAACTAGGACACTAGGCTTAGCCTATACAATAAGAGCTCCAATGCTTGCATACACAGATGCTGGAACTCCACCCTGATATTCTGATTCAGTGGCTCTAAACTTCAGCTTTAAAAGGCTTCCCAGGCAAACCAAATTCTGTTTTGTAATGTGTTTGTTACCACATCGTGAGCAATGCAGGTCCCAGTTCCTATATCTATTAAATGAGGCAGATCATAATACCACCTCTTAAGGTTGCAGGGATGATTTGCTCTGAATATGTAACGTGCTTAGCACAGCACCTATCACATAGTAAACACTCAATAAACCTTAACAATCGAGGGAAAAGCCAAGCAGCCTCTGACATCTAGGAGCGGGCCAGGCATTCACAGGCTGGCCTGGCTGTTCTATTGACCATAAACAATGCCACAGAATATCAGACAAAACCACTTAGTAACTGCCATAGATCATGACAATATCAAGACCACTCCATAATCATGCTTGAACACAGGCAAAACACAACTGTCCAAACCACAAAATCTGAAACAGTACCTTCTCCCAGCTACTGTGAGTGACAGCTGCTTCCTTAACAATTACAGCTTCAGCTTCTATCTATTCTTTCCTCCTCCTAGGTGAGATGTACTCAAATACCCAATCATAAAAACTCCTCTTCCTGACAGCATCCAATCCAGAGCAAAGCCCTGTTTCCTTAATCCCTCCCCAAGAGGAGGGCCTCCACGCTGCCAAATCACCTAACACCAGTCCAAGTCCTCCAAAAAGCCTTTTCTTTTCTCTTTTTTTAGAGACAGGTGCTATGTCACACAGGCTGGTCTTGAACTCCTGGCCTCAAGCCGTCCTCTCTCCTCAGTCTCCCAAAGTTCTGGGATTACAGATGTGAGCCATCACGCTCAGCCCATCCTTTACTAACTCTCCCTGAGACATTCCACAGCTCCCCATAGTGCACCTTTTCCCTGGTTGAAATGAATAATAAACCCAACTTGTTCTACTCAGGTTCAACAAGTGTGTTCCTGGTGGTCTTTGGCTGGGGAGCATTGGTGGTATTACTCTGGAACACTTTTTTTATAATGTAGACAGCTTGGTTTTACCTTGGAACTATATCCCTATATCATTTGAAGAATTAGAGGTAGAATACAAGAAGCAATGTTGGTCATCCCCACTTGACTTAAGCACTGACAAAGATTAAGGATTAAGAAGCGTTGCAACTTTTGTAAAAGGATAACTACAACTTTTTATCAGAATATTCATTAACCACAAAATGCATTCTTATAAAGTAGGCCTGCATATTACCTAAGACCAAAAGAAAAAAAGTACCGAATTGTAAGGTCATCTACTTATAAGGTCAAAGTTGTGAAGTCACAAGCTGTTCTTAATTTTATAAATGGGCTGTATCAGAAATTCACTTAAAGTTTGTTTTTAACATAAAATCGACATTTCAGTTGAAACCATATCATAAATGGTGATTAGGTTTACCCTTCATTCCCAAAGCCTATTTAATTCTGAATATATGTTAAATACTGTTCAAATGTACCATCATTTATGTCTACATGTCCATGGAAAAATGCATTCTCACCGTTGGAGGTCCATCTCATCAATATCATTAAAATTAGCAATATATATCATGCTAGATGCCAGTAACTTAATTCTCTACGACTGTAGGAAGGGTGTGATCAGGACGCTTTTGCTGCATAAGGGTTTATTACGCCACATGGCAAGAAGCCTGGAGTTACGCAGCAGGACTGACTGGTTAATTCCATGAGTCAGGAGCTCAACAGCTTCCCAGTGACCTAGGTGAGTGAGTGCTAGCTTTGGGCTCTCTTGTCCTCAGAGCCTTAGTGATGGTGGCCAGCTCCGTGGTGCCTAGACGGCTGCAGCAATGACCCCTACTCCCCATGCAGACAATAATGCCCAATGAGGAAGAAGACACTTTATGACACATGTATTTCTTTTGGCAGGGAGGAGGAGGGCAGAATCTTTTCCAGAAGTACTCTCTGTTCCCCACGGTCCTTCACTATGAAAATTTCTCATTGGCCAAGAATGTATCACATGTTCATGCCTAAATCAATCGCTGAAAGAGAAAGGGGATTACCGTGATTGGTTTGGACCAGCGGTTCTCAGCCCCGCCTATACATTGGAAACACCTAGGAGCTTTGGAAACAAAATTCCAATGCCTGGTAACGGTATCTTTAAAAAGTTCTCCAGCTGTTACAAATGTATAATCAGAAGGGAGTCCTACGGCATGGCCTCATCAAGTTTCATCCCAGCCTGAGCCCCAGTGTGAAGTCTACTCTGAGAATGTTGGGGGGCAAACCTCGGAACAAAATCGGGCTTTGCCAACAGGTACTGGGGAACACAACTAACTGGATCTGTCACGTGCACTCACCTTGCTATAGCTAAGAGAAGGGATCCCTCCAGGTCAGTGACCCTCTAGATGACCTATAATGAGAAATTTAAAAAGCTTGTTATAAGAGATTTGATGGCTATCTTAATCCCCTGCTCCCCTGCGAAAAAGGGAAAATGAGGAAAACATTTTCTAAATTTCAGTTCAAGAGCACCTTGCTCTCTGGAGCTTTTTTAGACACTGTCCCTCCTCCCAGGGAGAAACACTGTGTCTCCTCCATTCCACACCAGCTTTGTCAGGGTATGCATAAGGCTTGAACGTGCTTGCACGCTGCTCTGCCTTCCTAAAATGTGCCCTCTTGAAGGCCAGGGGTAATGTATGTATTCTACTTTGTGTTTGGCACCCAGCACACAGGAGGCCCAATAAGTATTTGTTGAATGAAGAAATAGGGGACAAGGAGCAATGCCTAATATTAATAGTAAACGTTTATCCAGCACTTATTATATGCCAGGCACTATGCAAAGCTATGCACACTGAATAGACTTATTTACTCCTAAGACAACCCTGTGAAGTAGGAGCCACTATTATCCTCACATTAAACATAAGCAGAGTGCATGACAGAGACTACTTGTCCAAGGTCACAAGCTAGGGAGTGACAAGCATGAAGCTAGGTCCCAGAGAGTGGACTCTGGAGCCTTCACACTTGAGAGGAAAAAGCATGCTCCACCTGTGTTAGAGATGGATCCCTCTCTAGTGGATCTTTGTCTGGAGGAAGGCTGCAAGGGACTCTGGCCGCTGGCAGGCTTTGTAGCTTTTAGGTTCCTGAAGGCTTTTGCATTCTTGGGCTTTTTAGGGGGACAGGGAAAGGAGCATTGCTCAATGACATAGGAGGGGCTGGAAATAAGGAGAAACAAAAGAAAGCATCTAAAATCCTGCCCCTAAAAGGTTAGAGCCTGGAGCAAAGCTCTCCATTCATGGGCAAGAAAAATAAAAAGGCTGATACTTGAGTTATGTGTTGCATATGACACATAATTTACTTGTGCTTCAGAGCTGCCTCTGTCATTTATGGGGAACACCACCATCTACTGTTCTGCTCATCTCTGACAAACCACAGCCTGGAGAGGAATCATGGTTCTGGTTCTGTCTTCTGCACTGTATTATCCCAGACACAGGTCATTATTTGGCCATCTTCCCCCGACCTGTCCCTCCTCTCTATAGCCCTTATTCTGGTGGGTGAAACTATCACTCACTCAACTCTTTATGCCAGAAACACTGCAAGTCTCCCAAGATTCCTTGTTTCCTCTCCTCCTCCACATCCAATTGGCCACTGAGTTTTGTGGATTTTAGTTCATAAATCTGCAATCTGTTCATTCATATTCATTGTGTGCCAGGAGTATACAATGATGAACAGGATCAGACACATTCCTTCTCTCCCCCAACTTCAAGGAGCTTACCATCTTAAAAAGGGCATATTGCAAATGAACAACCCATTCTATAATAGAGTAGTAAATGCAAGAAAAGGGTAAGTAGAGTGCTGGGAGGGAACGCTGGGGGGCTATATGTTTCATCTGGGGAAGCCTGAGGATTTTTTTCTTGGCAATGCCCGAACTGAAATGTGAAGGATGTGTCCCAGGACCCTGGTGAAGGAAGAACTGGGAAGGAAGGCAACTGCAAATTTTTGGAGGCTTGAACAGAGCACTTCCAAAACAGCCCGGTCGTAACCCAGTAACCATACTGCCAAGTGGCTTTCCACTCCTCAAAATAAAAAGCCCAGCACTGTTCTTCCTGTCTCTGGAGGTCTGCCCTTTGAGTCTCCTATCACTTGTCATTCATTCATGGAGTATGTACTGAGCACCCACTCGGTGCAAGTACCGAGCTGATAGCGGCCTCAAGGGTGCTTCCAGACTTTAGGGAGTCTTTAATCTATTGGAGCAGACAGACCAGGGGGGCGCATTCCGGGAGTGCTGGGGGCTGTGAAGTCATGCTGGCAGCTGACGCTTAAGATGTTAACGACCGTTTAAGGACCCATCTGCCTCGCTGCGCACTGCTCACCCCGTCACTGGGGAGCTCTGGGCCTGCCACCTGCTTGTCCTTCCCCGAGGGATATAACCAAGCGTTCTAGTCACTGCCCGGAATGTCCTTCTCCCCTTGCCCAAGGCCACTGCTCGCCTGGAGCCAGCTCCAGCACAGCGTGCTCCTCGCGTGGCCACACTCTTCAGCGCGCAGCTCCGCCAAGTCGGTTGACACTGCGCGCGCGGCCAGGGAGCTCCTGGGGGCAGACGCCGTGCAGCCTCTCTGACGCCGGGCGCCCACCCCAGGACGGCTCTCTCCCTAAGCGGCCCCCACGCTCCGGCCAGAGAGCGCGCACCCGGGCGACGACTCCGCGCGCACGTGGGCGCAGCCTGGAGGCCCTGGGGACCCTTTCCCATGGGGGCGAGAGGAGACATTCTGCTGGTAGACCTCGCCCAAGGGGTCGCGCTGCCCACCGGCACCCCTCCCGGAGCCCCGGCGGGGACGCGCGGGGGCGCGCTTGGGCAGGAGCGCGCGCGCCCGGCGCCTCCGGGGGCCCCGCGACAGCGCAGGGCGGGCAGAGGAGGGGCCGAGGGCGGGGCGGCCGCAGCCTCCGCCATTCCCGGGCCCCCCCGGCCGCGGCGCGCCGCCTCGCACTTCCGCCCGCGCCCGCCCCGGCCCTCCCCAACCGCGCGCGCTCCGCCCGCCCCGGAGCCTCGCCCTCCGCCACGATGAGCAAATGAGCGCGAGCGAGGGCATGAAATTTAAATTCCACTCAGGGGAGAAAGTGCTGTGCTTCGAGCCTGACCCCACCAAGGCGCGAGTGCTGTACGATGCCAAGGTGCCGCCACGGAGGAACAGGGAGGAGGCGCGGGCCGGGAGACCCAGGGACCGGAGGCGGGGGCGGACAGCGGCGCGGAGCGCGGAGACCGGCAGGGCTCCTCGGCCTGCGAGGAGCAGTGCGGGCGGCAGGGGCGCTCGCGAGGCGCCGAGCGTGGGAGTCGGAGTGGGGTATGCGGTGCTTCCGCTTCCTCCTGGTGTGCCGGGCCGCGCATGCGCGGTAGGGGCCTCGCGAGTGCAGTGTCGTGAGCTCAGGGCTGCGGTTATTACCCGCGACCCCAGCGTGGGCCACGGGTGGAGGAGGCTTCTCGACTACGGCCTCATCTATCGCCTCAAATCTCTGCTCGTCTTATGCGGCCCTGTGCTGCGAGAGCTCCGGTGGGACCCCCTTGCTGTCCGACTCAGGTCCTAATATGTGGTTCCACGGCACTGGCCGCCGATTTGCGACGTTGTTGCTGTAGGACCCTAGTCGAGTTTAGGCCCAATCCTCATGTAGGCCATCCCGAGGGCAAGGTTGGCCCAGTGCTTTCGCCCCTCAGGGCCTTACAGCATTTATGTTTTCAGTCCTTGAAGGATTTGCGTGTTTCTGACCATGTTTGAGCAAAATTGAACCCCAGGCCCGTCCACCTAAGTCTCGGGGGCGCTAAACCACATCTTGCAGCTCATCAGGTGTGGCTGGTGGGCAGGAGTGAGCACCGCATTCCTCGAACCCTAGGGAAAACGCAGTTCAGTGACCTGGGTCCCTAGGGCCACCTGGGCAAAGCATTTGGCAGCAGGGACAGGGGAGGCTCCAGGTGTGTCTTTGGCGAAGCCTGGGCGGCTCTGTCATTTACCTCCAGGGTCTCTGGGCTGACTGAGTATGTTCTACCTTTGGTCCCCTTCCCCGCAGTCCTGGTCTGTTTTCTAACCCCCTCTGCTGTCCCTCCTCTCTCTTACCACCTCCGAGTCTCCCCGGAAGGCGGGGAGGGAGACAAGCCCCATCATTAGCCTCAGATGTTCCCTCTGGGGACACAGCAGAGAGGGATTCCGGAGTCTCCTGCCAACCTTCCTGGCATTGGACGCAGGGGAGCCCAGGAGACTACAACTGCCATAGGTCTCAGAGCTGCAGCTTTCGCCTTGCCTGGACACTCTTGTTAGTGACAAATCAGCCGGCCAATGGCTTCTGAAATTTCATCCTGTCTCACACTCAGAGACCAATCACGGGACGGTTGGACGGATGTTTCCTATTTTGAAGGCGTCCACTTAGGGGAAAAAATGGTATTGAAAGGAAAAATGTTTCAGCCTAGCTCTCGGTCTAAAAGAGGAGAGAATGCTTTCTTTTCTTTTAAAAATGATCTATGATCTAGTTTTCCTGATCTAACTTCCAATTTTCTGTATGTTCTATCATTTGCGGGCGATGTTTCCTGGTTTCAGATTGTCGATGTTATTGTTGGGAAAGACGAAAAAGGCAGAAAGATCCCAGAATATCTGATCCATTTTAATGGTTGGAACAGAAGGTGAGTGTACTTGTTAAACTGGACTGAAAATTGATCATCTTTGCAGCCCAGGAGCATTGCAGATTTCTTTAAGTTTTAGAAACACTTGTAGAGAAGTTTGTTTCATTTCCTATTTTTACTTTGTTATCAAAGCTAGCCTATTCTGAGGAATAGTTACTTTTAAGTCGATTATATTTGGATTTTCTATAGGAGATTCTGGAAACTCCAGTTGTTTCTGTGTCTGAATAAGTTACTTTTTGAGTTCATTTGTATCCTCTTTGTGATTTTAAAGTATTTAAATAGTTTTCTAAAATGTAATTCTGAGGCAGTTTGTTGCTGTGAGGTACTTTTAACATTTGTTTCATATCAAACTAAAATACTGAATTTTCCTTTTTTTGTTCAATTAGCTGGGATAGATGGGCAGCCGAAGATCATGTGCTTCGTGATACTGATGAAAATCGTAGATTACAGCGTAAATTGGCAAGAAAAGCTGTAGCTCGCCTGTAAGAATATAAAAATCAAGACTTCAATGTTATGCATTGTGTTTTCTCTTAATGTTTTGGATTTATAAAGTAGTTTTACCTATTTAAAGTGTGTAAGAGAAGAATGTTATTCTAAGTAACTACAGTGTTTTCAGAGTGGTTATTGCATAGTTTTCTGAAATGGAAATTACCATTTATTTTCTAAGATTTAATTATTTTTCAGATATTTAAGAATTATTGTTTATTATGTCTTGTTTTGATCTCAAGACCCATATCAGTTCAATGTCTAAATTTATTTCAGTTGTGTTTATCTTTTTCAGGAGAAGCACAGGAAGAAAGAAGAAGCGCTGTAGGTTGCCTGGTGTTGACTCTGTCTTAAAAAGCCTCCCTGTTGAAGAAAAAGATGAAAATGATGAAAACTGTGAGTGACTTGACTTCATTTTCTCTGGCTAAAAGGACTTTCACCTAGTCTTTTTATACCGCAGAACTGAGGGGAGGATTCATTGAAATTGTAGACAGGGAAACATTTCAAGATCGTTATGTATAATATTTGCCCCTTTTGTTTTTGACAATTAAAGTAGCAGTCAATATGATAAGTCAGTAAGTTAGTAATGGCGCCTTATCAAAGTCATGCTCATCACCATGTCTTCTTGGCCAGTGTCTTTGTATGAACCTCTCCCAGGTCTATTCTCACAGTCATTCTCTTCTTGGCACATCCCAGGCCTTGGCCTCACTTATAAATGCAACAGGAAACTGTAGGATCCTAGCTGATGAAACGCTTTCAGATCATTAGCTTGTGTCATTTTTGCATCCATTGAAATTGTTGTCAAAATAAATTTCCGTTGTGAAAGATGTAGTATTTATGTTCAGCATTTAAAATATATGCAGGACTTGCCAGGTGCAGTGGCTCATACCTGTTATCCCAGCACTTTGGCAGGCTGAGGTGGGAGGATCATGTGAGGCCAGAAGTTCGAGACCAGCCTGGACAACATAGTGATAGCCCATCTCCACAAAAAATAATGAAAAAAAAAACCCAACTAAGTGTGGTGGCGTGCACCTACAGTCCCAGCTATGTGGAAAGCTGAGGCAGGAGGATCACTTGACCCCAGGAGTTTGAGGTTACAGTGAGCTATGATCGAGCCACTGCACTCCAGCCTGGGTGACAGAGTCCCCGCTCTGAAAAAAATATACAGGACTGTAGTTTATTATTCCCTGTAGAATGCAAGCTACATCTAAATATTTGTGAACGTAAGGGTTGGTGAAGTGTATAATACGAGTTTGATGTTTTTGTTTTACCTAGCAATAAGCAGTTCCTCTGATAGTAATGAAGAAAAGGATGAAGAAATAAGTGAAGAAAGTGATATTGAAGAAAAGATCGAAGTGGTATAAAGTTTTTATTGTAAAAATTCTTTGTCTTTGTTGCATATTTTAGTGGTAAAATTCCATGGTAAAATTCTGCAGTTGTGAATTATTTTCTAAAGATACATTTTTAAAACCAATAATGTAAATTTTTTCTTGACATTTAAAGAAAAAAAACCCTCATTTTTAGTCACTGCATGAGTCTCTCAGTGGCTCTTTATGCCCATAAAGTGTTTCCAAAAATTATAGTTATCTCTTTCTTTCCAATCAAATTGTGAACTTTATTTTATAATGATAATTAATTTTTTAGTGGAGCATAACAGTTTGGCATCTTCTCCTTGCTTCCAAAGTTAATGTAAATCCCAGTGGTAAACTTAAATGGGGATGAAACAAAATGTGCATTTGTGATGTGGTTAGTGCCCTAAAACAAGTTAACTTTTGGCCTTTAATATACTTTCAATTAGCACACGTGGCATAATGTACATCTTGAGGAGTAACTGGATTTGTTTCATAGTAGCCTCTCGTGTGTTAGTCCTTTGGATACAGAGGCTCCTACTGTTTTAAATAGTTACAAATGGTATTGTTATATTGCAGAAAGAAGAACCAGAGCTGCAAACAAAAAGGGAAATGGAAGAAAGAACAATAACTATAGAAATCCCTGAAGTTCTGAAGAAGCAGCTTGAGGACGATTGTTACTATATTAACAGGAGGAAACGGGTATGCCAAGAGAACTTATAAAGCATGGATTTGTTGTAGCGCTTTCATTTGGCCATATTTTGCAATCACAGACTCAAATAATTGAGAAACTTGGAAGAATGAAGTTTATATTTTCAGTTTTGCAATGAGTCGGGTTTTAAAGTTCTCTGATTAAATTAAAACTCACGCAGCCCTGGCTGCCCATTGGAATCCTCTAGGGAGCTTTCCAGAATCCTGCTGTCTGGGTTAGGTTTAGCTTCAACTGAGAGGCTAAGACTTATTCATCTGTGGTGGAGCCCAAGTGTGGGTATAATTGTAGGGGCTCCCTGGTTGTTCACTAAGATTGAGAATCAGGGCTTACATTTATTCAAAAATGTAATACCATAATCAGCATAGGGATATGATTAGTAGAGGGAAAAAAATGATCAAAGGACGTCAGAATCTATTTATTTAAGAAGCTCTAGTTGAACAGAATTGGTTTTGCTTTATTTTGGTGTTAAAATAATGATATAGACGTGACCACTTTTTCTTGGAATATGTGGTTTATTACAATGGGATGCATACTTCAGATGTCTGTATTTTTGTTAACAGTTAGTGAAGCTTCCATGCCAGACCAACATCATAACGATTTTGGAATCCTACGTGAAGCATTTTGCTATCAATGCAGCCTTTTCAGCCAATGAGAGACCTCGTCACCACCATGTCATGCCACACGCCAACATGAACGTGCATTATATCCCAGCAGAAAAGAAGTGAGTACCAGCGTGTCTGGTGTCTTGTGGTTCTCTTTGTGTATTGGAGAAGTGGCTCCAATTTAGAACAGGTGACATTTGTCTCCAATTATTTTGAATTCATTTAATAATTCATAATTCATTGACTCATCAATCTAACATCAAAGTATTGTCACTTGTGTAAATAATTAGTGAAGATTCCACAAATCTGGCCAGGATCCATGGAGAGTGCACTGCCTCAGCACCGAGACCAGTTTTTTCAGTGATAGGTTCACGGTGAGAATTCTTTCCTCGAGAAACACCAGAATGGGCAGTGAGGATTTTCCCAAAGCTTGTTTACAAGCAGTCTTTATTCCAATCAGAGTTTAATTTTACAACTCTGCCCTATTAAAAATATGCAACTTCATTGTGAAATTTTGAACAGTATCTGACTATGACTTTATTGCATCTCTAATCTCTTCTTTTTAATCCTCCTAGCGTTGACCTTTGTAAGGAGATGGTGGACGGACTAAGAATAACCTTTGATTACACTCTCCCGTTGGTTTTGCTCTATCCATATGAACAAACTCAGTATAAAAAGGTGACTTCGTCTAAATTTTTTCTTCCAATTAAGGAAAGTGCCACAAACACTAATAGGTAAGTTCGATGGCCTGCACTTTCACCCTCAGATGTCAGCAATACAGTAATCAAATTTTTCTTTTTAAGAGTTCAGTCTGATGCTATGAGGCCAGCATGTTTGGAGGAGGGAAAAGATCGAAAACTGCCCATATGGGTGGTTTTCTTTTTTCCTGGGTAAGCTAAGTCATTATTGACTTTTACATGGCTCTCACAGATATTACCAAGTGAAGATCCCAGTGTAGAGAACTCAGGCAGGATGGTGAGCAGCTCTCCCCATCTTTTGGAAGACAGCGGTGGGTAGGCTGAAGAGAGCACAGGCCCAGAAGGGTGGAAGGGGTGGGTTTGAACTGAGATCGCTCACTTGCTGCTGTGTGATTTGGGGAGGTTCCTTCTGAGCCTCTTGCTTTTGCATCTATGTGATGGAGTGAATGCCCACTTCCCTGGTAGTTAATGTTGAATGAGAATGTTCATAAAGGACCAGCAACTTTTGGCCTTCAGTAAAGGTTAGTTCTCTTCTCGCTCTGATGTGTTACCACTTTTCTTCCCTCAGTGACCAAGCATGCTCCAATCTCTTCTTTTGGGGGTGGTGGATTCCTGCAAACTAAAGTCTTTTTCCTTTATCTCTATAAGCTACTACTCTATCTCCCTCCTTCCTCTCTTCCTGAGAGAGTGGTCTCTTATAATTTCCACTCACCTCCTGTCTTAACCACTTACCAACTGCCTTTACCTACCACTGCCCTTATACTCTTCCTCCGAGGGCACTGGTAACATCCCACTTGCCACGCGCTGTGCTTTGCACCGGCTGCCTTTCTCCACCCTCTCCTTCTCCCTTTGCTTCATGGCTCCCGGCTCCCCTGGTTCTCTGTCTGCCTCACCACCATCTCCTCTGAGCCTGCCTGCCTGTGAGGGCTTCTCTCCCCACCTCCCTTTCACCATGTCGGTCTCACCCCAGGTGAGAGACCTGCAAGACTCACTGAGAGCCTGTGTTGAAGTCCCTGCGGCCTATTCCTAACCTCAAGATTCCCAGTGTCCAGGGTGGACTGTGTTTCCACAAAGCTCCCCTGGTGCTTGTGCCTTTTTCTAGCCCTGCCATTAGTTACACTTTGATGAGATTATATGATACTCCTATTCTCTGGAGCAGGGTTTCTCAACCTTGGCCCTCTGAATGTTTTGGACTGGAGCATTTGTTGTAGGGCTGTCCTGTGCATTGCAGGATGTGTAGCAGCATCCTTGGCCCCCACTCACTAGATGACAGTAGCACACCTTCCCTCAGTTGCTACATCCAAAAATGTCTCCAGACACTGCCAACTGTCCCATTAGGGCAGAGTTGCTCACAATCGAGAGCCAGTTTTCTAAGACAAATGTAAAAAGGGCATCACAATCTTTAATGCCAGTGTGCCTTGCAGAGCTATGGAGAGGATTAAAACTACTTAATATGTTTGGTGATTCTTTTTTAAAAAGTATGTGTTTTGGTACATTTGGAGGTGCAGACTTCCAACCCTCTTGAAGTAGAGAGTGTTTTCTACCTTCAGGAGGCCCTTTAAGAAGCCCCCAGGTTCTGCAGAAGCTTCTTGTGCTGGCTTTGTGTGACACTCTCCCTCTCCCCTAGGAGCCAGGAGGAGCTCTCTCCTAGCCCACCTTTGTTGAATCCATCCACGCCTCAGTCCACAGAGAGTCAGCAGACCACGGGTGAACCGGCCACCCCCAAAAGGCGCAAAGCTGAGCCGGAAGCACTGCAGTCTCTGAGGCGGTCCACGCGCCACACGGCCAACTGTGACAGGCTGTCTGAGAGCAGCGCCTCACCTCAGCCAAAGCGCCGGCAGCAGGACACGTCTGCCAGCATGCCCAAGCTGTTCCTGCACCTGGAAAAGAGTAGGTTCATTCCTGGGGGCCCCAGGCTGGGGAGAGCCAACATTTACTTTGTGCTTAGTCTACGCTAGGCTCCGTGCTAAGTTTGCATGCGTGTGCAGTGTGTGATTTCCATGGCATGTCCAAAGCCCTGTTACGCCACATGCTTTGCAGAGCCGCAGATAGATGAAGCGGCCGGCACAGAACGTGCAGTGAGGCTTGGTGGGGGAAGACTGAGTTGTCTCCTCAGCTTTCCCTTCTCACCATCACTCTCTACCCCTTCTTGTGAGCAAATTAAGGTATTAGAATGCTGTGTTTTGTAGAGGTAGTCCTAAGGATTCATTCAAAATGAGAAATTCTAATGGGTTGTTTTGGTTTTTGTTTCCTTGTACTATCTCAGTAGTCTTTCTATTATAAAGTTTAATTTTGCAAATTCTATCCTGAAATATCAAAGTGAGAACACCCAGATTTCCATCCTCTCTTCTTACCCCATCTCAGCCCCAACCCAAGCTCCATTAGATCTGCTCACCTTGAATTTGAGCTGCAATGCTTGAAGGTCAAGATAAATTATGAAAGAGTTCACATTTTTTTTTCCAAAATGCACATAGATCGATTGACTGTAGTATAAAACTTTAAGCCACTGCTAATCATTTTTAAACTTGAAAAACTGCTAAAAACACATGCCATTAATTGGATACGATTGGATACAATGACTTCAGAAACTAACATTAGCTATCATAACATACACTAACCAGGTAAATAATGAAATTCCCAAATTAATGAAAACGTGGCTGTTTAACTTATGCTAACCTATGCCCTCTTACTAGTATTATTCACTTTACATTTATGAGCATATTGACAAATAAAATATGTGGTGCTCAGTGTTTACATAATTCCACCATTTACTGCCAAAAATGAGTAAAATGAAAGATTGATGCCAGCAGGACCAATGCTGTCACCCAGCAGATGTCAGACTCAGTGAAGAAGTTGGCAGTAGAGGCGGGTTGTGTGCTTGTCAACGGGCAAACTACATGAAGACCTCCTTTGCTAAGGTCAGGGCAAAACTCCTTGGAGCCGAATCCTCAGGCCCCAGTAGGTGTTTCTCATGCGTGTCCTTCTGCTCACCCCTGTTCTTCCCCCAGCCTCTCCTGCTGGGCTGACTCCTTCAGGTCTTGTGTGAAGTATTACCCTATCTGAACTCCCAAAGCTGTCATCACAGTGGCACTCAATGTTTAGGTGCCCGCTTCCTTATGTACCCCAACCCCAGCATTCCCATCACAAGCTCCTGAGAGAAAGGGCTGACTTGTTGCTTGTGTCACCTCCATCACAGCTCAGAATTGGGGTCATAGTTCCTTTATTAAAAGGATTTGTTTTGTAAACTTTGGATTCAGTCAAAAGGCCACATTCAAGGATCCAGAAGGCCACATGTGGCCTCAAGGCCGCAGGTTCCCAACCCCTGTTTTAGGTGCTTAATAAGTACTTGATGATTGAGTGAAGACTTGGAAAAGTTCTCAAGGGCAGAGTAAAAAAAGACATACATTTTTTAAAAAGTCCTTTTGGATAATCAAGTGCTAAAACAAAATCACTTTTTTTAACAGCTTTGTGGAGATATAATCCATGTACCTTATAATTCACACATTTAAAGTGGTTTTTAGCATATTAACAGAGTTGGACAGCCATCACCAAAAACAGTTCCAGACATTTTCACCATCTGAAAAAAAAACTCCACACCCATTAGCAGTCACTCATGCACCCCTCCCTGCATCCCCTGGCAACCACCAATCTATTCGTCTCTATAGATTTGCCTATTTCGGGCATTTCATATAAATGGAATCATATAATATGTAGGTAGGTGGTTAACAAGGATTGATTGAATGAATATTGGGAAGATTCAGTTGAGAAGGGTAAAGAGGCAGGTATTGTTTTTTTTAAAAGAAGATGCTAAAAAGTAAAGTGCTTTTTCTTTTTTTGTTTTCTTTGCATTTTTTATTTATTGAGGTGATATTCACATTTAAAATTAACTGTTTTAAAGTGAATAATTCAGTAGTGCTATCTTTTTTACCAGCTTTTTTGAGACATAATCCACATATCATACAATTCAAGTATACAATTAAAAGTGGTTTTAAGTGTATAATTTAAAGTGTACAATTCAGTGGTTTTTAGTGTATTCACACAGTTGTACAACCATCTCCACAATCAATTCCAGAACATTTTCACCATCTCCCAAAAGAAATTCCATATTCATTGCAATCACTTCCTATTTCCCCCTTCTGTAAGCTTTGGTGACCAGTGAGCTACCTTCTGTCTCTGTGGATTTGCCTATCCTGGACATTTCATGTATATGGAATCATAGAACGTGTGGCCCTTTTTGATTGGCTCCTTTCACTTAGCATAATGTTTTTAAGGTTCATCCACATCATAGCATGTGTCAGTACTTTATTCCCTTATTTTAACCAAATATTCCAGAGTGCTAACCATTACACCATGGAACCACTTTAACCAAATATTCCAATGTTATCTTTTATAAAAGAAAAGTTTTATTGTTAAAGATTAATAATTTCTGAGAACTAATTTTAGATTTTGTTCTGCTGTTTTTAACAGTCTTGATGACAGTCTTTAATTCATTTGCTGTGTAACTTACAGGCAAATAATTCTAATTTTTTTTTTTTTTGAAGAGACACCAGTACATAGCAGATCATCTTCACCTATTCCTCTGACTCCCAGCAAGGAAGGGAGTGCTGTGTTTGCTGGCATTGAAGGGAGAAGAACTAATGAAATAAACGAGGTAAAGAGTTAGTGTTTGATGTTTGTCCCTAGTGATTCCTTCACCTCTTGTGGTTGCTTAAATCCTATGGAAGGAAGTCAAGGTTCTTGAAGCATTGTGTTGTTATTACTGTAAGCATTAAGAAAATTGTACATGGGATTATGTTTAACAGTATGTTTTTGGTTTCTAAAATGAGAGATTTCTAAAAATTTGGTTATTGTTAGGATTCCAGCCCTATACTTATGATCATCTTTTATCTTAAATAACTGTGATTATTGAAATACCAGTATTTTCACTTTGTATAACAGGTGTCAACACACTTTTTCTGCAAAGGGCCAGAGGGTAAATATTTTAGGCTTTGTGAGCCTTATGGTGTCTGTCGAGACTACTTAACTCCAAAAGTAGTCACTTACAATGTGTAAATAAAATGAGTGGGCTGCGTTCCAATAAAACTTGATTTATGGAAACAGAAATTTGAATAGCATTTAATTTTCATGTGTTACAAAATATTATTTTGTTTGTTTTCCAGTCATCTAAAAATATAAAATGCACTCTTAGCTCATGATCAGTATAAAAACAGGTGGTGGCTGGGCCAGGTATGACCAGTGGGCTGTAGTTAGCCGACTTCTGTTTTCCATACCTGATTCTCCTCCGTTATTAACAGTAATATTAATTGTCGTCCCTTCCAGGGCATGCCATATGCCACCATTGTGCCAGACACTTGAACCAATTTACCTTGACTTCTTGAGATCAGCCTTGCCACCAGGTCTTCATTTGACAAATGAAGAAACTTTTCATTTTAAAACTATTTTTAAGGCCTGTTAGGTGATGTAGTATAGGTAGTGAGCATTTCAGGGGTTCAGAAGTCTTAGTCCATTGGCACATTTTGTGGATTTCCCCTAGGAGGTGGGATTTCCTTGTTTCTTTAAGATGAGTGGGAATTGTACATGGGAAGATGGCTTTACTAGGCAAAGAACACTTCATGATACGGGGACAGGGGTTGGCAAACTTTTTTTGTCAGATGATAAATATTTTCACGGATGTGTGCCATGTGGTCTCTCTTGAGATTGTTCCAGTGGGATAGCAGCATAATCCATAAACAAATGGCTGTAGCCGTGTGCCTCCCCCACCCCAGTTTGTTCATGGACACTGAGAATTTAATTTCATATGACTTTCACATATCATGAAATATTATTCACTTGATTTTTTTCCCAGCCATCTTGAGCACATGAGCATTGGGCTTATTTTGGCCCAGAGGCAATAGTTGGTTGACCCTGACCTTGATTTAGAAGGGAGAAAGCCTAGAAAGCCTGATTTGTGTTATAATGATTGTTGGGGGTAGGTTAGGATATTCCTAGTTCAAGCAGTCCCTAACGCACCCATTTTTCCAACAAGAAGGCACTGCAGGTTTTATTATTTAAGGGGAATCACATTTCTTTAAAAGGGCACCTGCGTATTCAGGCAAGGACCGTTCCCACTCTGGTCAGCAGTGCGAGTCCGACATCTAGTGGTTATAGGTACAGCCACAAGCCATAGTAAAAAAGTAAAAAGAAGTATGTTTTTTGGAGTTCAGCAGGCTCTTAGGACTTGTGAGATCTTACTGAATTCCTACCTCCTTATGTGCCTCTATCATGGTGTTTTTTAGCCAGTCCCTGCCCCACTGCATCAGGGTAAGGTCTGGCCCTGCACATTGCTAGTAAAGATCCACAGATGGTTCCCGTGCATGCCACACTGAAAATCCCTCCTCTAGAAACCTACTGTTTTCACCCATAAAACGAGTCTTTGATAAGTAGAAGATTATATACTGCATTGAAATGCAGAATTGAGTAAGTGAGGTACAGCCACTTGCTAATTAGCCAAATGACGTGCTTTTGTGCTGCAGTTCATGCCTCCAGTGATTGCAAATTCCTGTATGTTCCCTTTGACTACCACTGTCAAAATGGTTCCAAATGGTTCCCAAGCTTCAGCCATGCACACTGGGTGGGTGCCAGGGATGGTATAAAGATGCGGAAACAATCCCTGCTCTCAGCGCTCTGCAGCACAGAAGGCTGGGGCAGGGGTTGGGGGGCCTATGGGAGAGTCTAGAGCTGACAACATGGGGGCTGAAGTAAAACAGAGGCCTTCATCCTGCAGTCCTACGGAGCCACCTTGGTGCTTTTTAGCTTCTGTAGTTTCATTTTGTCTAATTGACTCTATGTCAGCATTTCTGGATTTTTGGGGACACCCTTCTTTGTCTCCTAAAGGATCTACTTCAGCCTATTTCCGTATTAAATTTGATGTCCCAAAAGCTAAAGTGGCAATTCAGTAGAGTAGGCTCTCGTTCTATAATTTGCTGAAGTACTTCTACGGAAACTCATTAGAGAGTTTTGAAATACGGCTCTCCCTGTAACAAAAGCCCCAAATCTACCCACAGTTCTGAAATTCAGAGGGAAGGCAGAGAAATCAGTTACCAAGTTTGAAGTCTATTTTCAGTCGATTCAGGGGTTAAAAGATTCAAATTAGTTTCCAAAATGAATCTAATAGCAAGAAATTAGGAAATCTTGAAACAATGGTGATATTACTCAAAACATCTTTGGGTTACTTTTTAATGCTTCATTCTCTCTAATGCAGCAGGATTTCCAATAAAGGAAAAGGGGAATCATGTTTCTTTAAAAGGGTAATAAGTAGTTTTAAAGGACCAAAATAGTTGCCATTATTTATGAGGAATAGCTGTTGAGAATAAAAAAATCAATATTTCCTTGATCTGATTTTAAGTCTTTTTGTCCTTCATCTTTGTTTATTTTTAATTAGCTTGTGTTTATTTTGATATAGTGGCATATTTTTTTCCTCTACGTACAATTTGCTGTCATAATTTTTAGGTGATTGGAAGTGTCTCCATTAAGAGTAACGAAAGCCTTCAATTCGTGCTTTTTCCCAGGTCCTGTCCTGGAAGCTCGTGCCCGACAATTACCCCCCAGGTGACCAGCCGCCCCCTCCCTCTTACATTTATGGGGCACAGCATTTGCTGCGGTTGTTTGGTGAGAATCCCAGTTCCTGCTTTCTTCTTTTCATTTTTCATCTTGATTTGCTTTTAGCACTCTTGTTAGCTTACATACATCTTATGGGTTGGGCTCTAGGTATCTAACTGATACAGAAATTTTGAGGTCTAAGAAAAATCATCCAAAGGTGGCCTGTTAAAAGGCACTTAACGGATCTTAAATTTCACAAAACTTATGTTTGTAATGTTTGTATTGCCACTCTGTCTTTGTTCAGTAGGAGTTTTTGGTTTTGTTTTATAACATGGATGTTAATTTTAGTTCCAATAAGGATAAGGAGGGACCTAGATGATCCTTGAGTGAATCCTATGCGTTGTCAGATTCTGCTAATTGTAAATGGTTTTGCCTTCATTTTTAATGCAGTAAAACTTCCAGAAATCCTTGGAAAGATGTCCTTTTCTGAGAAGAACCTGAAGGCTTTACTGAAGCACTTTGATCTCTTTCTGAGGTATTTTTATTGCTTTGTCAAAACTTACCTCTGTTGCTATATATATGACTTTTCTAAACTTCTCTTTAGCACATGTAGAAGTCAGCTCTGTGGTGTTTTAAATAGTAGCAATATAATATTACCTAAGTATGGTCGGTTCTAACTGTAATGGTAAAATAGGTTTTTTTTTTTTGATATTTCTTTTTCTATAATTTCTTCAGTTTCCGAGTCAGGGGCATTCATTGTACAGAGCTAAAGTTTTTTGTGTCACTAGAAGAATTCAATTGAATAAGCTTTTAAATAGAAAATAAATTTTCTAAAGTAGAAGTGATTGGGATTGATAATAATTTAGTTTTACATATTTTATTCGGGAGTACCTCAACCATTGGACTTTTCTTTCTTGTGTGTAGAAGAACTTAAATAATAGCATTTACATGTTGGTGTTTACTTTAGAGTTAAGAGAAGTGACCCCTAGTCTGTGCTGCTGTTTGTGAAGTCAGAGAAAAGTGTTGTTTTCTTCAACTGACAAAGTCAGTCATTTTCCTATCTAGTAGGGTCACTTCGCCCTAGGCTCTGCTTGTTCCCACTCTCCCACCCAGGTGATGTCTGTTGACCACTTCTTCTCCTTGGCCTTCAAGGCTAGTTGTCACCCTGCCTTGCCCAGCTTGTCCTAGCTACCTGAGCTTGTTTCTTCCTTCTCATTAAGGGGCACCTTTTCCTTGTAGTCAGGCCCCACCCTGACTTATCAAGGTCAAAGTGGGGCCCAACTACCACGCAGGTGAGCGCCCCAGCCAGAGAAATGGGTCTTTGGTTTTAAAAGATAACTTTCATGTAGGCATTTTGAATAAAGGGTCCATTAGTGGAATTAGACTTAACATTTTACTGGAAACAAGTTTCAAAAATTCTCTCTTCCCTCCCAGCCTCCTTTTCAAACAAACCCACAACTCTGGCATAAAATTTTGTTAACTGAAATCAAATAGTGCCAAGAAAATACACAGAGATAGCTGCAAGTTAGCATGGGAAAGCTGGCTAATTTTGAAGTATGCCTAATACAAAATATGAAGTAGAATTTTTAGGAAGTAACTTAGAAGGATTTATAGGTAAATATAGTACGAAAATTAAAAAATATGTCCAAAGACATCAGTTGAAACCAGTGGACTCAATAATGGCGATAAAAATGTTACAATCACGGAAGGAAAAAAGTTAGCTGCCCAGTGAATTTTGACTCGTTTTTACTAAAGAAGATATTATACATTTTTAGGAATTTGGGCAGGTGGGAGGTAGCTGGGAAAACAAGTATGAAAGTAATTAGCTTACTAGTTAATATTGCAAATTTGAGAATGTTTTAGCCCTCCATGGCAAAATCAGTTGAAGTTTGAGTCAAGATATCATCTGCATATTGCAGACTCTTGAATGCCTGGCCACATTTTAACATCCATCTACACACGTAAGTCTTTTTATGTTTTGGTACAGTAAGCTAGAACTATAACACCTTTTGGCATGGCAAGTTAGGACACGAAATGCTATTACTGGTTATTCTGTTCAATTTTGGTGTAATGTTGCTCATATAAACAACATAAATTTCTCATGACATTTGTTGAATTTATAATTTGTTGTTTTTTGTACTTTGAAAAACAGGAAAATGTAGAAATATTCACTGAGGCTTTTTTCCCACTGAAGTGTTTGTATAACCAGACTGCCACCTAGCGGAGTGTAGGTCCTATTTCTCTTTGTACACCTGGTGATGGTGAAGGGATTCAGATATTAATAGATAGTAATTAATGTAGAAGCTGAATAAGTGCAATGGAAGTAATCAGTATATAGAAACCTAGATTATGGTCTTTTTTTCTTTCTAATACCAAAAAAGAATTGAAATGTTAGTTGGTTAAAAGATAATATTTTGCTTAGTGGTATATAGTCCTTACTATGATGCTCATTGGAGCCATTTTTTTCTTTTGCCAGGTTTTTAGCAGAATACCATGATGACTTCTTCCCAGAGTCAGCTTATGTCGCTGCCTGTGAGGCGCATTACAGCACCAAGAACCCTCGGGCAATTTATTAAAGTTTTGATGGTTCTGTAAGACCAGCTGCACCATCTAGCTTTGCGCTCTGGGTTCCAGGTGAAGAACTAACAAAATGATGGGTCTTCCTTACACAGAGTGCAAATGTAACGCCCATCCTGTGGGCTCCGGCAGAGGTGGGCGCTGTTGTTTTAGTTGCCCACATACTGTAGTTATTCTGTTAGTAATTACTTCCGAGGTGCCTGTAAGGGCTCTGCTACACTTACTACTGCACAGGCCATCTGCGATGGCAGAAAAAAAAAAAAAAAAAGAGCAACTATGTTCACATGAAATGTTCATGAAAGTGTACATAGGTTAGGCCATTTGGGTAGATGTTTCAGTTACTTAGCAAGAATGACATTGTTTTGTTATTTGTTAGCATTAAACAAAAATTTTTTTGAAAACTGTTTTCATTCTTGTGATGAGGCTGAGCAACTCTGTCCAACAAATTTTAGTTTGTACTTGGAAACTGCAAAGTAGTCTCAAAGTATTTTAGAGGGAATTGGTATTGATGGCAAAAGAAAATTTGCAGCTATACATTTGCTTATAACGGTTCCCTCTTTGTGAAACATTATTTTTGGTGATCCAAATAAAGCATTGCCTGTCTTGTTTGAGATTTTATAGCTATACTTTGTTGTGTAATGTTATGGTTCCCTTTCTGTAAAATGTTATTTTGGGTGATCTAAATAAAGCATTGCCTGTCTTGTTTGAAATAACCAAGAGAGAGAAGTTTTTCTCTGGCTTTGTCCTTTTCTCTCTATTGCAGGATAACAGTGGGATAACCTTGATTCATAACTTTTTGTTTTATTTTGTTTTACCTTTGTGTCTTTTTTGTTAAGTCCCCCTTTGGTTCTGCCTCACTTGGCATGACTAGACAGTGGTTATTGGAAGCTCCTTTGGTTCTGTGCTGTCTCGTTGCTGCCCTGTGGGCTCATCTGGGGCCGACACCAATTTATCCTCCTCCCTCATTACCAGATGATGGTCTCTGTAGTCACCTGTCCAATCCTTAGTCTCACATGCCTTACCCCACCCCCAGATGTTTTAAAAAGTTCTAAATCGGTAGAAATGATACCAGCACCATACAAGCATTGAATATAGCAACTGTCTTTTCTTGTAGCTTAGCTCAGTAGACCTTAACTTCCGAAGACCACCGGTCATGAACAAGAAGGGCCACAAGGATTTTTTTTAAATCTATAAGTAGTTCTATCAGAGTGACTTGTGCATACACTGACCAATGAAAATCAGTACTGTGCACTTAGTTGCCAAGTTAGACTGGGGTTTTGGTGTCTAATCTGGAGAGACGTTTGGGTTTATGGTAGGTTTCGTCTCCATTTGGTGTATGCAATGCCTGTTTAAATCTGGTGCACATGCAGTGTGCTCTGAATTATTTTAATCAGTAAATTATTCATGGTCTGAAAAAGAAAAAAAAATTGCCTTTAGAAGAATCTACTTGTTTAAATGTCTCCAATGAAATGAACACAGACTTTCTCAGAACATTTATATAGTTATATATCTTGAGTTTACAATTAATTCATTTTCTAACAAAAATTATTTTCTTCCCCTAAAGGCATTTCTTAATTACAACTTCTCTTAAAAGATGATTATATGCAGCTTAGGTTGATTTAAATAATAACTTGTCTTCAAAATATCCATCCCTCTATTGTATATTACTAGTAATTGCAATCATTCCTCAGATAAAAACGTATATAAATTTTTTAAATCCTTATAAAAATTATAAATTATTCTCCTGTTGTTTATTTTTAAATTGTTACTTTCCTAAACTGCCAAACCTTGCAGTTTTAAAATATCACATTCATCGTATCTATTTTCCTTTCAGTAGTCATTTAAAGGCGTGCTGAAAATAATGTTTTAATAACTTAAGTATTAGATCCTTGTACTAGGTCTTTGACGAGAACATGTGATAACAAAAAATACTTCTGAACAAAAATAGATTATCTAAATCATTCCAGAGTACAGTGTACACAGAAGGAGCTAAAGAAATTTATCAATTTACAAAGGTTGCCATCTGGCATTAGATTATATCATCAACTCAAACATTTGAGCAAGTGTAATTACCCTGTTTTGCCATTTCTTAAAATAACTCGGTAGCCTTTGTCCTTTAAGATTTAGCTTGTCAAAGGTAAATTTGTCTGAACATTTATTGACAACAACCTACTCTGGTGCCAAAAACTGCTAGGTATTGAAAATATAAGGAAGAATAAGGCATGGTCCTTGACAGGGGAATGCAGTTAAGAGAATCTTTACAGGCATAGACCATTGTTTTCACTAAATTAGGTTCTGTGTTTAGGAAGTGTGTTACTTTAACCACTTCTTAATATACAAAAGTATAATGTGGCCATAAAGGACAGTATTTTCCAAAATTGACTTTCCCATTGTCCAAAAAAGAAAGTATAATTCTATTCTTTTAACTGGTTGTCAGTTTAGGTGGACTTGATAATCGCAAGTTTTTACCAGTTATGGAATCTCACCAAGATGGTGGTAAGGGACTTGATATCCATTGGGAAAGGGGATTTCAACAGATTGAATTTAAAACCAGTAACTTGGAAATCATGTTTACACCCCAAAGAGGTATGGAACTCCTCAATAAACTGGTTAAATCTTTTTTCTTAAAGCAATGCAATTGGAGAGACACCTTTAAATTCTGGCTACTGCTTATCTTATGCTTGAGCCACATTATTCCAGATGTTCATTTGGGATGAATCCTTAGTGCATATTTGTTTTTACATAGTTCCAGCCAAAAGAGAATGGCTCCCTCTTCCCTGGAGTCCATCTAAATTCAATATGAATTTATCAATGGCCGTTTCTTGCCTTCAGCTTTCCCTCTGGTATAAATTGTAGGACATCTGACCAATGAGCAGAATGCAAGTTCCCAGCGAATGTGCTCAAGGCCCGGGGAGGTTGTGCCTAGCAAGCCCCACTCCCTCTGCACGGTACCAGGCACATCAACTGGGAGGCCATCTGAGATCATCTTATCTAGATGGACATGTTGCCAACACACATGCACATGACATCTTTTGTCATACAAGGAATACAATTACTGTAAATGGGTGAATAAGCAAGAGCTCACATGTAGTGAACTCTTCAGGTTGTTGGAAATCAGGAGACCTTTCCTAAAGGACAGGGCTTCTCGCACTTGGATGTGAAGTCTTGCTAGGACGTGGGTTCCAACTCAGCAGGTCTAGGGAAGGCCCAAGAGTCTGCACTTCTAATGACTGCCTGGCGTGCTGACGCTGCTGGCCCTTGGTCCTCACTTAGAGTAGGGAAGTTACGGGGTGTTGTCGGAGAGGATAGGATGTATAAAATCAGGGACAGAAAACAGGATTCAGCAGATGTAGCTAGTCCTTTGTGCCATACTTTCTGTATGGTTTTCCATTTGTTCTCAGGACAGCTGCATAAGGAAAGTATTAGATTAAATATCTTACATAAATCAAGGAATTAGAATTCAGATTTGTTAGAAGCCAGAAAAGAATTCAAACTGAGGTCTCTTGATTCTAAAGCTATTTCCCCCCAGTTTTTCCGAAGCTGAGGCAAGACAATAGGCAAGTTTCATGGGTCAGAGGGTAGAGGGAAGAAGTAAGGGTTTGTTTGGAATCATTTTTCTGCCATCTTCCCACTTTCTCCATCTTCCTCACCCTTCCCACATGTCCCCTAGAATTCTTACTGTTTTAAACTACCATCTGCTTGGCCATTTGCTTGATTCTGGTATTAAAGGAATAGGCAGTTCTTAGTTTAAGGCTTGTTTTCATAGCTAGATCTAAGCTGGGTTTATTTTTTGTAATTCTGAAATTTGAGGGCTGATTGCAAAAGAAGAAAGTTGAGTTAGTTAAGTTCATCCAAGATTCAGTTACAACACCTTTTACCAAACACATTTTTGAGTTTTATAGATGTTTGGCTTCCCAGAGAATTTAAGAAAATATCTTAGTTTTGGCATCCAAATCCTTTGTTGCATGAGGGTGTATTAAGAACTGTAAAATAGAATATGTGCTAAATGGCCAGAGTAATTATGGCTGCATTCAAATAGTACCGGAGACTAGATCTCTCTAGCCCAGCAGAAGTAATGCAAGTTCCTATTTTGAAGTAATTTCAAAGTACTGGTGTGCTCATTGTTACTGATTTCTATGGACCAGCACGGTCTATCTAAATGGACACTATAGAGTAATCTTGTATTTTTATCATCAAACTATTTTACCTTTTTATTAGTCTTACTGAAGTTAACAATTATCATCTAACTATTCTGAATGCCACTGCATTTATTAGTTAGTACTTAATAGACCTTATTCCCAAGGTCAAAATTAATATTTTAGGTAAAGTGGTTATAGTTCTATGGAGATGCCTTACTCCTTGATAAGGTGACATCCAAGCAAAAATCTGAAGTATGAGAGAGTGTGACATGCAGATAGCTGGAGGAAGAGTGTTCAGGCCGAGGGAACAGCTGAGGCAAGAGCGTTCTTGACATTGCTGGAGGAAGAGGCCAGTGTGGCTGGAGAAGAGTTAGGAAGTCAGAGAGGCAAAGGGCTGGGGGCCATGCAGACCCCATTAAGGGTCTGCACATTATCCCTGCACAATGAATTCGAATGGCAATGCTTGGTACAGTTAGGTTTGTGTTTTCTGCATGTCACTGGGCTGCAGTGCGGAGATGGATTAGAAAGAGGTTAGAAGAAAGTACAGGATGTCCCAAAAGTGTCCATACAAAGGAAAAATTTTGTAGTGAATATTTTATAAATAAAGGTACATTTAGCTACATTTCCCATTTTCCCGATGTGTGGTGAATTTGGGGATACCCTGTAGACCAGGGGGAAGATAGTGGGCTCAACAAAAGTACTAGTATGGGGATGGGGACAGGGAGAATATTTTGAGACTTATATGAGATGGAAGTCGTACCTCAGGAAGAATAACTGGGAGGGAAATAGAGTTTGCAAAGTCACAGGACATAGGTAGTAAATTGAGATTGGCTGAGGTTGGCTGAGGTCACCTGGGGAGAGAGCGTATGGCCTGAGAAGAACATCAGACTTCTAATCAGAAACTCCAAATGCAAAAGACAGGGCCAAAAAATATCTTTCAAGTGCTGATTATGAACAACTTTGGACTTACACTTTATTCTCAGACAAACTGAGTCAAGAGTGAGCGTCTTTCCCAGCACTTCAGGCTCTCAGGGACCCTCCACTGTGCCCCTGGCCACCTTCCCAAGCACCAGCTTCAGAGCTCATCAGTCACAATAGCCTTCAAACTTGAGTCGCCTCTCAGCATGCTGTATTCAACGCTGCAGAGTCCAGTGTGACAGGAGCCAGCATGCCCGGGCTTCTGGGCCCTCAACACTAGGCCTTGACAACTGAGTTGGTGTGGTATCATTTCTGGGCTTGGTGTTGTGTGATTCTCTGTGACAACTTTTCTACTCAGTTTCCAGCAAACAGGAGACAGACCTGTCTACAGCAAAAAGCATGATAAAGACAAAGAGAGCTATTTATTTGTGTGAGAGTATAAACGTGGTAGAGCCACTGAAAAAAGTATTTTTTAGAGAAAGTACAGAGGGGTATCTTCCACAGATGTCAATATATTGTAAAGTTGTACTCATCGAAATATGGTGCAGAAAAAGACAAACAGCAAAAGTAGACCCGGAATGGACTCGTGTGTGTGTGTGTGTGTGTGTGTGTGTGTCTATACACATACACATATACATATATACACAATGTGT